CCCCCCCCCCCCGCCCCAGTGCTTGTCCCCTCACTGCTCCTGCTCCTGGTCCCGCGCCCTCGGGTTTCTCTCCCCAGTGCCCTTGGGGCGCAGCTGGACCCAAGTCCCCGCCCCAGGCTGGCCTCCTGACCCTGCAACCGCCGGGCGAGCTCCAGGCGACCCATCCCGGGGTCTCGGGACCCAGCTGGATCCGGTCCAAACTGGGCCTGCGGATGGACTGGGCCCGGCACCTGCAGCGCTGGCCGCGCGGGTTTGGGCCGGCGAGGAGGATGGTGATGACCACGACGACTGTCGTGTCCCCGTGCTGGTGACCTTCATCGCCTCCCTCTCAGGTTACCTTCCCGCCGGCTCCCGGGTTCGCTTGGGCGCAGGCCTTTGGGCTCCCGGCCTCGTGTACACGGGCCGCACACAGAGTCCCCCCGTTTGTGTGGCTGAATAAAACAGTCTGTGCGAAGTGCTTCCGCAGAACACCCAGGGAGTGACCAACTACAGAATCTTCCTCTGGAGACGGACGTGAAAGCCAGGTGAAGGAACCAACGCTGGAAACTTCTGGAAGCTGGGAGAAAGGGAGGGAGGAGAAGGAAAAGGAGAGCAGGAAGGAAGCAGAGGCCTGATAACCCAGAGCAGCGTGGAGGCCCCAGGGTTACCAGGAGGGCGGTGGGTGTGGAGGAGCCGGGAAGGGTCCCTGGGGAACAAGCCCCAGATCTGGAGGCCACTTGCTTCCAGAGAAGAAGTCCTGTGCCGCTTTCTCTCAAGCTGCGAGCACATACTTATTTGGGAGGGTTGGAGCCCTGATGGGCACCCCCTGGACAGCTTGGGGCTGGGGGCGCTGCAGGGCTTCCATGCACCCGAGGGCCGCAAGTGCTGCTTAACCAGCGGCCTGACTGCTGTGAGCCCTGTCTGCTGGGGGGGGGGGGGCTTCCAGACTGACCCGCGGGCCATATGCAAGCTCCGGGAAGCCACTTCTGTCCCAAATCGCAAGTGGGGTCAAACGTGCCTCCTTCAGCATCCAGCCAAGCGGAGGGGGAGAGAGAGACGCTGCTTTGGCCCCGCGCCAGCACGCTGGCCTCTGCCTCTGCACCCGACCGGACAGTAATTCTGTTCAACTAGTTGCCTTAGGCAGGTAAAATGAAGTACAGGCCGAGGTGCGCTGCGATTGGTACCTGCGTCTCCACTCACTGAGGGGCTCTGAAATCCAGACCTAACAGGGCAAACTTGAGGCCTGGTGATGCTTCCCAAAACAGCCTCAGAAGCCCTGAAACCAGTGGGGCTTTTTATTGCAGGCGCCCCGAGGGGATGCAGAGATCTGACAGCGGCATTCCTGAAAATCCTCTTACCAAAACGCCCCTTTTCCCCAGAGAGTCTCCCCACACACAGCCCTCGCTGAAACCGTGCTCCACTCCGCCTGCTCCTCCCTCCCTGGGCCCTGAGGCTGACAGTGGACCCTGATGGCAGTGGGGAGGGGGCCTCTGTGCCACCCCCCACATCCCCTAGAAACAGTTTCTCTCCCTCCTTCTCTCCAGAAAACCAGCCCTCCTAAGGGTCTCTGCCTCCCTGATTAACGGGGGAAAGCTCTTTACCGAGAATGCCAGCTGGTCGATACAGGAGTGGAAGAATGCGGAATTCTCCGTTCTGCAGCTCTCAGTGAAATAACTGAGCAGGACAAGGTGATGTGAAAATGTGTCAATCACCCAGTGCCACCTGGGAAAGAGAATCACCCTCCACTTTCATTGGAGCCATCTGGCGGTCCACACCTTCACAGGGACTCCAACTCGGCATCACCGGTGCGGGGCCAACCTGACGCTAGGGGAAGCCAGCTCCAGCACATGACATCGCCAACACCGTGTTCTTGCTAAAAACACTTCGCTTGAATCAAAGGCCAGGTCTGTAGCCGCCACGTCCAGTTTACGGGAAGGAGAAGGGACAGAGTACATGGTAACACCACCAGGAGAAAGGACCGGACAGGTGCAGAGAGCCAGGCCTGGTACATCCTCAAACAGGTCAAGGTCAGGAAAAGGGTGGGATTGATTCTAGTATAAAAACAGCTAAAAAAGAAGCAACACTTCTAACAACAGGCATGAACCTGACCAACACCTGGGTCAACCAAGCAGCGTGAAAGTATTGTGATAACATTTTAGTGCAGATGGAGTATTGAGTATCCCAGACCCACTGGTAGCGCTAATTGGGTATGATGAGAGCACAGTGCTTATCTGGAAGAATGGCCTTATTTCTAGGAGATGAGCTATTGAAGGTGACACGTCTTGATGTCTGCAACTTGTTTTCAGATGACTCAGCGAAAACAATACGCGCACAGAAAGTCAGGAGGACAGATCAGTGACCGAAGCTGGGGAGTGGACATGGCAGGAATCGGACAATGCATTCCCCTCCTCTGGATGTTTGAGATTTTTCCGTAATAAAAAGTTGCAGAAAAATAACATGCCAAATAATTTAAAATTTTCTCCAGCTCTTTTCTCAGGCCATCAAATCCAATCTAGGCTTATGGGAATAAAATCAAAAGATAGTATAATTTATATGTGAATGCTTTTGAAAAACCATCTGGCCCCAAACTTGACTATGGTTTGTACAAATGTATTACATATCATAGTATAAACATAATGTGTACTTGTTTATAAGTTCACAAAAGGCAACATTCACTTTCCCAGCGCATTGGCACCCGCCGCCTGGCCAGCAGGTACAGAGAGCTTGAAGGGCCCGGAGCCACGGGGGGCCTTCCCGGCCAGGGCCACGGTGCTGCAGGTGGATTGCAGAAGATGAGTGGCTGCGAAGGCCGACACTTTGGCCTGCAGTGCACCTCCTCTCCGCTTCCCTTCCCGCTCCCAGCCTCTGCCCCCTGGCTCCCCGAAGCTGTCGGGGTCCCTGGGTCAGAATTAGTGGGCACCACGCCTGTTCTTAGCTGCGTTGGCTCCTCTCTTGCATGGCACCTTCCTGGGTTTTCAGACGCCACTCCGCAGGTGTGCACCCAGGACAGTGAGGGAGCTCGACGGGGACGGGCCCTGGGAGGGCGGGGGGAGGGGTGCTGGGTAGGAGGAAGGGAGCCCCGGAGCACCTCCGTCCTGTGGGCCTCCCACACATTGCCACCTTGGAAGCCATTTACACGGTGCTGGTGCCGGGGAGAAATGGCTTTCAAACATCAGCCTGGACACAGATTCGCAAAACAAAAGTTGGCCTTTTGTGCGGTGACCCTGACTGGACCCAAGAGAAGCCTCTGGCTCGCTGACCTCTTGCAAGTAAGTATTCACTCGCTGAGAGACACCGAGCGAAGCTGAACCTAGTGACTTCATTGTGGCCTCCACAGTTAGCGCCTTGCCGTCCCGGGCTCCCTGCCTCAGCCTCCCTTTCTCCCGCTGCGTGGCACTGTCAGCCAGGAACCAACAGAGATCCCAGGGTTGTCTGTTCATGTTTATTTTGTAAGGGCACTTAACTGTGTGTCTGTGTTCGTGTAAGTGTGTAATTGTGTGCGCATAGGCATGTGCGTGCATGTGTGTATCTCTGTGTGTGCAGCTATGTGCGTGCATGTGTGTATCTGTGTGTGCGTGTGTATCTATATGTGTGTAGGTGTGTGTCTGTGTGTGCATGTGTGTATCTATATGTGTGCAGGTGTCTGTGTGTGTGCATGTGTGTGTCTGTGTGTGCGTGTGTATCTATATGTGTGTAGGTGTGTGTCTGTGTGTGTGCATGTGTGTATCTATATGTGTGCAGGTGTCTGTGTGTGTGCATGTGTGTATCTATATGTGTGCAGGTGTCTGTGTGTGTGCATGTGTGTGTCTGTGTGTGCACGTACAGGTGTGTGTGGAGAGGGACTGTACTGTGAAGGACATAATGTGTTAGACCCTCCATGGAAGATGAACACATGGACTTTCTGGTAAAATACAAAATAAATACTTGGTCTTTGTTCTTTTCTTGGCACGGAGCTCCTAAAATCCTTCGTTTGTTTCTCTTGTATGTCATTGAGATGACGGTGGGGGGGACGTGACCGCCTCGGGATGGGGCTGGCTGACAGAGGGACCAGCCTTGTGATCAGAGGGCTGGCGCCTGCGGCCCCCGGCCCCCATCTCCGGGGGGGTGTGAAGACATCGCGGGCTGGTGAACACACCTGCGCGGGGGAGGGAGACGCGGGCTCTGGGCGCCCTCCCCTCCCCTGCCTGTGCGTCTCTTCCATTCGGCTCTCACTGAATTTACCCCTTGTAATAAGCCAGGGGATGTACGTAAAGTGCGTAAAGGGTGGTTCTAGGCAGCGAGCAAACCCGAAGTGGGTGTGGGAGCCTCGGAATTGGCGGGGGGCTGAGCAGAAGATTTGGCGGGAGCGGACGGGAAGTGCGGGCTCCGCCTGGGGAGGCAAGGGTCTGATGTGCTTGTGCGCTGCACACGTGGGTGCCTTCCTGGACGCCTGTGTGTTCTGAGAGCCCGAGGAGAGAGGATGGGCTGG